CGAAAATCCCAGCGTGAGTACAAGACAGGTTGCTAGAGAAATACCCGGAGTTTCCCAGTCAACCGTTTGGCGAATACTACATGAGGAACAGCTGTACCCTTACCACACACAACGTGTTCAGGCGTTATAACCTGAAGATTATCCACAGCGAATACAATTTTGTGAATGGGTATTGGAGCAAGAAGCCCTAAATCCCGAATTTTTGTCTGATGTATTAGCTACGGATGAATCAATATTTACTCGAAATGGGGTATTTAACATTCACAATACTCAATCTTGGGCATTTGAAAACCCTCATTCGATTCGACAAGATCACTTCCAGCATCGGTTTTCACTTAATGTTTGGGCTGGTATTGTAAACGATCGATTAATTGGACCACATATTTTACCAAATCGAATGGATGGTTTACAATATCTTGATTTTCTTCAAAATGACTTGCCTGGACTACTAGAAGATGTGCCTCTAGATGTTAGTCAACGGATGTGGTTCCTACACGATGGAGCTCCCCACATTTTCGTTTAGCAGTTCGTCAACACCTTCATAATGTTTACGGGTTAAGGTGGATTGGAAGAGGTGGACCAGTTTTATGGCCTCCACGGTCTCCAGACCTGAATCCGTTGGATTTTTTTTATGGAGACATCTCAAAAACGAGGTTTACAGGACAGAAGTTCCGAATATTGAAGAACTGCAGTTACGCCTTACAGCAGCTGCAAACGACCTACGCGACAGAGAGCACATTTTTCCTTTAGTTCGTGAAAACTGGATTAGAAGAGCTCAAATGTGTATTCCGGTTGGCGGTCAACATTTTGAATATCTGCTGTAAAAATGGTAAGTTAATCCTTTATTTTATGGTTTAATTTATTGCATTTTTGTTAACAAATTACCCCGTCACAAATTACGATATACTACATTTTCATACATTCTGCATACCCGTAAAATGGCAGCGCAGTCACCAGATTTTATCAGTCGTAAGGCGGGGAGGAGAGATTGCATACTACAATCGTCCAGTTTTCAGAGGCGTGCTAGGGGTATTTTTAAATTAGTTTTTTACTTCGGTTTTTTTTCCTCAAAAGTCGCACTACTGGTTTTCTGTGATGCTATACTACATCCCGTTTAATTTTTTACGTTAAGTTCTGAATCACCCTGTATACAAAACATTTAGACTAATGATGACTAAAGTATTTAAATGCTGTAAAATAGATTTTAATAACTACGTATGTGCTATCTGCTTACGTATTTTGCATGCTAGCTGCAAAGAAAAAGTTATTGATAAGGAATTAGATGAATATAAAATATACTACTTAACGAAATGTATAGAATTAGGGAAGACATAATCGTTAACCGATCTTCGTATTCAGAATCTAGATCTGCACGAATTGATAGAAGAACAAGATAACGGGGGGCATTTTGAACATTTGATAAAATGATTTTTTTAAACCATGTGCTTTTAATAAAAATTGTTTTTAGTTAGTATGTACCTTATCATTAAAAAAATTTAAACTTTTTAAACGACATATTTTGTTGCAGAAAACTGTAAATGTTTTTAAAAGTACATCCCATCTACTATTTCTGGCTAAAATTTCAAGTATCCAACAGAAATAGTACCTGAGACAGTCGACTTTAAGAAAATGCCTACCGGCGCGACGACTAAAAATTAAAAAAAAATGAATAACGCCAAATCCGCTATAATTAGAATAGGCAAATATGGTATCATTGTTTACAGAATTTCATGCTGAATCCTAAATTTAAAAAATATATAGGGTGTTCCCTTTAAAATAAAAAAAGTTTTTTATGTTTAAAAAATTTCATTTTTAAAAATAATTTGCAAACACCCCGTACAACAAATAATGAATAACTAAATACTCTCAAGAAGTACATCCCATCTACTACCTTTGGTTAAAATTTTAAGGATATGATAGATATAGTACCTGAGATAGACGACTTTAAGAAAATGTCTACCGGCGACTAAAAATGTAGAAAAAAATTGAATAACGCCAAATCCGCTATAACTAGAATAGGCAAATGGGGTATCGTTGTTTACAGAATTTCATGCTAAATCTAAAATTAAAAAAAAATATGGGGTATTCCCTTTAAAATAACGAAGTTAGTGGTCACTTCCGGTATAACCGGAAGTTGCACAGAGTTCATTTTATTTTAATTCAAAAGAGCATATTTGATTATATATACTCAGAAAATGGCGAAAATACAAATTAATTTATTCTCCATAAAGTTGTAATGCCCGCCTTACGTGGGACACGGTGTATATAAAAAAATCTGTGATTTATTTTGCTCTTAAAACGATATTTAGGCATAATTCAAAAAAATTTAAACACAGAATTGTACTTCCAAATTTCACCATTTAACAAACATTTTCGAATTTGATCATACATACCTACCTAATTTGCATTTTATATAAATGAAATTTAATATTTTATAAATTAAAACATACAAGACTTATTTATTAAAACTAAAGTATATACACAAATATAAAAAATACGTGTGGCACTCGAGGACTGCCGCGGTAAAGCTATTGCATAGCATTTTTTATCCACTTATGCAATTATAATTATTTATTTATTTTATTTATGCATTATTTTTTTTTTTTCGATTTTTGGATTTTTTGATTTTTCGATTTTTTAACTTTTCGATTTTCTTTTATTGAATAAATGAGAAGTTAATATTGTTTAACGCCGCACCGCTGTGCCGGTCGGAGTAGGGGGTGTTAGGTTTTTTTCCGTTACGGTTTCGTTTTTTTTTCTTGATTCGGTCGCCACGCTCAAAGCCCGCGATAAAAGCTATGCAATAGCTTAAAAAATTAACATGACCTACAATAATATTTAAAACTTGTTGTGAAAGTTAAATGTCCTTATGGGTAGTTATAACATCTTTTCACTTAAATAAGTTTCTGTTATTTCGCGGAAATATGATCATATTTATTTATTTATTTATTTATTTATTTATTTATTTATTTATTTATTTATTTATTTATTTATTTATTTATTTATTTATTTATTTATTTATTTATTTATTTATTTATTTATTTATTTATTTATTTATTTATTTATTTATTTATTTATTTATTTATTTATTTATTTATTTATTTATTTATTTATTTATTTATTTATTTATTTATTTATTTATTTATTTATTTATTTATTTATTTATTTATTTATTTATTTATTTATTTATTTATTTATTTATTTATTTATTTATTTATTTATTTATTTATTTATTTATTTATTTATTTATTTATTTATTTATTTATTTATTTATTTATTTATTTATTTATTTATTTATTTATTTATTTATTTATTTATTTATTTATTTATTTATTTATTTATTTATTTATTTATTTATTTATTTATTTATTTATTTATTTATTTATTTATTTATTTATTTATTTATTTATTTATTTATTTATTTATTTATTTATTTATTTATTTATTTATTTATTTATTTATTTATTTATTTATTTATTTATTTATTTATTTATTTATTTATTTATTTATTTATTTATTTATTTATTTATTTATTTATTTATTTATTTATTTATTTATTTATTTATTTATTTATTTATTTATTTATTTATTTATTTATTTATTTATTTATTTATTTATTTATTTATTTATTTATTTATTTATTTATTTATTTATTTATTTATTTATTTATTTATTTATTTATTTATTTATTTATTTATTTATTTATTTATTTATTTATTTATTTATTTATTTATTTATTTATTTATTTATTTATTTATTTATTTATTTATTTATTTATTTATTTATTTATTTATTTATTTATTTATTTATTTATTTATTTATTTATTTATTTATTTATTTATTTATATAATGTTTGGTACCTGTTCGTGACGTACGATATCACAAAGCATGTCTTTGTTGCGGTGTGAAACACTGCTGTATAAACTTCTGGAATCTGGATTTGGTATTCTTGAATTCGCAGGATTGGGCTCAGGATAAACTTTAAGGATAAATCTGCCTTTTCACCTACTCATTATTTACCTTTGGACTTGAGGTAAATACATTTCTTCAAGTTAACTTTTTTGGCCTTCCTTTATTTGTTTTTTAAATTTTAGACTAGATCTTGTTTGGCTAGCGATTACACTCAAAAGCCTCGTTTTACCGGCGAAACCGGTTTTATAAAAACGCATTTTTATGGTTTACTAGATGCAATTTTAATTTAATTTTACATTTATGCAGTCAATTTATCAAATTGTTTTATATTATCCCGAAGTGATTTGAGTTTATAGCATTATGTACCTTCTTTTTGTGATCGCTTTAATACAAATTTTATGATGAAACCGATATTAACTTTACAATTAATCATTTTCTTACCCCAATTTGATGAATTATAAAGGCTTTTATTACCATTTAATTAACTTGTTCGATATTAATTTCTTTGTTTATTTAGTAATCTTATTTGGAACTATCTAATTAATCTAATTTTATATCATAAAAACCTTTTATATCCTGACATTTTACATAGGGTTTTAGGTTATGTGAGATTTAGTTTGCTCATAATTTAATTAAAAATTGTTTGCTGTAACTTTTATTGCTTTAAGATTCCTATATTTTATTTTTTATTCTTTATCAGAAATTAAGTTATTTTTGGCTGTTAGGTTGCCTTATGGCGTTTCAATGTTACATTTTTATAAATGTTTTATTTAAAATTATGAAAGTTTATTTGATTATAAATTAACATAATTGTTTGCATCCTTCTCTATCGTAGGTTACACAGCCCAGTAAATCCTGAATAATACATAAATTTGGTTTTTCTCAAATAGTATACCAATATAATAATATACAGAAAAATGAAAGAAAAACATAATTTTTTTTGAAGTAATATAATTTTGTATAATAGAATTACCTATTTCAATTTGTTTTTCAAAGTTCAAGATAATATAAGGAACAAAAGGTATTGGTGCATTTAGGCTTTAATGCAATATTATATTCTCTTGTTTTATAAATATGTAGGTACTTACTCAATTCTTATGAAAAGACGCGGTGGCATGAAACTTGAGATGTTTCTATATACAATTCCGGCAGCAAATCTTTTCTTCCTTTCTTTTGGAATGACATTTGTTCCAGAGACCTGAACGCCTAACCAATTTCTGAAAATAAAAAAATATTATTATAAGTTATAAAACATAAAGTAAAAAGTTCTTGGAAAAATCACGTTTATCGTGTACAATTTTTTATCAATTACAGTTTGATTGTAATTTAGAGGGGTCTGAAGGTACCGCGGGTATGACTATCTCTGTTTTTGTCGGTTATTGCCTATTTTAAAAATATTTTTTGTGTAGAAAAACAAACTTGTATTTCAGACTGAACATCGATTGGTGGTTATTTTTGTAATGCCAGAGAAGTCTTTTTTGTTTTTTAGATTTTTTTTTGAAAAGTGAATCAAATATACTGTTTCATTAAGCGAGTACAACCGAACAATAAAAATATAGAATGATTCACATTTTACAGGTATTTCTAATAAAAATTCCTTCATACGTCATCAATGATGTTGATCTTTCGTCAAAGTACTACCAACTAATTCAAATGTCCCTAACTAAGCTAATAATCCGAAAATATTCATGAGCATTCATGAATGTAGTCATATTACGAAAAAAAAAAAAACAAATGATATGAGTGATTATTTTGATAATTTTAGAATTTCTTCAATTAATTAGCTTTATACACGCCTTATTCTTTAAACTCGTTTTCATGGAGAATAAATGTCATTATGGCAATTGGTACACCTTGTTGTGACGATGCCAATAATATTTTAAAAAGTTTCACTGTTTTAGGTTAGGTCTTGTTATGTTTGCAAGTTGGTTTCATTAATTATAAAACAAATAGTGTGAGAAAAAGCTGACTGTTTCTTATATTTCTATATACAAAATGCTAAAAAACTAAATAGTCGTTGTAAGGAGCTTGTAGATTCGTTAAAACAGTGAACGAGATTTAAAATGATTACCTTCAACTCTGTTAAGTGCTGTATTAGACGTAAGTTAAAAATTATTAGAAATGTAGCATAGAAATATGAAACTAATTTCTAGTTTGTTTTAGCGTGTTGCAGCACCCTACACCTAAATATTTTTACTGTTATTAGTATTTCGCATGCAGTCAGGAATAATGAATAATTAAAAATAACTACTTAAAAAGCATTCATATAAACAAAGGATTACTAATAGAATAACACTGGATACGAGTGGAATCCGAAATGATATTTATAAGATGTATGAAACAAGTAAGTATAAACACAAATCTATTCATTCAATTATAATTTATTTATAATACTTATAAAAGTTTCAATTTGTATACCTATCTACAGTAATATAAATACGTACTTATTTGCAGGTCAACGTATAACTTTGAAACCTTTTAGAAAAAAGCTGATTGAAAAACAAATATTTAATATTGCGCATCATTGTGAAGTGTGTTAAAAGAATGAAGGAAAAAAAGATAACCAAGAGTTCAATTTTTAAGAAATTATAGAAATACAAAAGAAGCGGTATGTTTATGTTGATGAAACATAAACAGCTCCTGACAAAATAATGACAAAGGGTGTAAGACCTACAAAAATCGATGGCAAGAGGTAAGTCGCAATATTTGAAGAAAATAAAGGTATCAATATTCGTGTGAATCGAAAAAAAAAAAATAAATAATAGGTATGTTTCTCTTATCTTGTGCCTAAATTGCTATATTCTAAACTGTAATATTGAAATGACACATCATATTGAAAATTTAATGGTAGATACGCTATTCTAGCAATCATATCAAGACAAATTTTGTCAATAAAAATCTACATGTTTTTCACATTCTCAAAATGTACAGTAAAAATAAAAAATGCCATTTTTTTTTCAGAAATAAACGTTAAAACAACATTAAAAATTAAAAATAAAGTTACAAGATTTGCTATAACGGTGTACCTACCATTAAATTTTTGATATAATGTGTTATTTCAATATTACAATTTAGAACATAGCGATATTGACACATACGAAATAGCAACTAAAAATAAATAAAACATCTTTTTAGATACAAACTGCCAAATAAATATATGGTAAATAATTAAGCAGAACAATATAGACATAAAGTATTACGTCTTCTTCACTGCATTCCTAAATCAAGTTCAAGTAGAAAAAATTATGTAAGCATGTAATAAAAAGTCTTGTCAAAGTTTAAAAAAATATTGGTTTTTTATTAATATCTCGAAAAATCCTTTTGTCAATTAAACTTTAGCAGTATTGTTTATTGTCACAAGACGCTAAGTTAACACTATTTAGAAGATTATTAAAAACATTTTTATTTTTTTTTTTTTCGATTAAACAGTTAAAAATAAAACTTTTTGTCATGATATTTTTGCTTATCTTACTTCGTTTTTAAGGAAAATACAAAACCACTTTATTGTGTATTGAAAAATTTGTTGTGAACATAATGTGTTTGACTTTCAGTGACAGTTTTTTATTATTTTTTTTCTGGTCAAAAGGTAGATTGTACTATTAAAAAAAAAAATGTTAAATAATTGTCCTAATTTGGAGATGACACAAACGCATTTTCTTTATAGTCTTACCAATGAAAATGCCGCGGGAGCCCGGCGCCTATATCAAGAAAGATATCCTGATCGTGACCTTCCAGACAGACAAATATTCGTAAATATTTATCGTCATCTGACTAAATGTAGCAGTTTAAAACGTAATACCTCCGGGGCAAGACCTAGTATTATTCAAAAATTAAAAAAGAAAGATGTCCTTGAGGTATGGTTAGAACACTTGGAAGATTTTTAAAACAACATGGTTGTAGATATAAAACAGTAAATAAAAGACAAAATAATAATGGAATCTAGTCGTTTAGTAAAGTGGAGAAACGAATATATATGGAAAATTTGGGAGTATCGCAATGAAGGAAGGCACATCTATTACTTGGATGAAACATGGTTTGATAGCCGCGATACTGTTCGTAAAGATTTGACAAATGACGGTTGGAAATGTAAAACGGTAGTTCCCCATTCTCGAAGTAAACAGATTAAAGACAGCTTTGTAGATTGTCACCAGATATCGAAAGAAATCTTTTCGAGTCTTGATTCGGGAAAAAAAAAAACGGTTGCCAGCACTACATCCAAACAGTGCGATTGTCTAAGATAATGCATCATATCATTCAAGGAAAACTTGTAAAATTCCAACCAAATGTTCTACCAAAGAAGACATTAAATAATTTTTAATTAGAAAATATTTATATTTTGAACTTATAGAAGTTCTAAATAAAAAAATAATCGCTAAGGAACATATCGTTGACGAAATGGCCTAGGAAAATGGTCATAATGTGTTAAGATTATCCCTATACTACTGTGTTTTGAACCCGTTTGAACTATTATGGGCCCAACTTAAAAACAAGTAAAAATAATTAATATTTCATCAAAAAATTATTCCAACAGCGTTGTAAAACTTATAATGAAAGAGTTCTCAAATATTAACTCTGAGAACTGGAGAAATGCTATAAACCATGTAATAAAGAAGAGATTAAGTGGTGTGTACACACTAGGTAATAGGAAATGAAGCAAGAAGGTATTTAAAGTGTGTATTTATTGAGTTTTATTTAATAAAACTCCATAAAATAATAATTCGTCTGAGCGCTTTTGGCCTCTTAAGCCATCATCAAAGACTCAATAAAAGGAAAACTTTGTACACTTACTCGTCGAAAAAACTTTATAAGAAATATCAAGAAACTAAACTAAATTAATAAGGGACAGCAGTTGACCAGTCTCAAGTCTCCACCATAGCTTGCAGCTTAAATAATTCAAAATCCAAACCGAAATTCGGTAACTGACCCAGTACAAAATGTGAGACCAGCTGGTTAGTTTTTAACAAAGAAAGTGGAGGTTCATCCGTCCATGCAGAAATAAACCATGTTGATACGGAGAACGAGTAATTGCTAATCTTGCACTTGAAGGCAGCAAGGGTTATCCAATTAATTTCGTGAGGCAAAGGCAAGTTGGAATACAAAAATTATGAACAATTTTTTTTTTAAACCAGCAATGTGCCTAAACAGCATGAGTGACAATTGACATTTGACAAAGAAGTTGTGTTAGTAATGATATTGTGTTGTATCAGCTCCGTTTTTCTCTTATAGAATCTTTGATGATGGTTAAGAGGCCGAAAGCACTCAGACAAATTATTATTCTATGGAGCTTTATTAAATAAAACTCAATAATTGCACATTTTAAATACCTTTCCGATTCATTTCTCTTGTAATAAAGGTTAAAAATTAATATATTTGACGCGTATAAAAAGACTTGTAATTAATGTAAGCGACGGTGAATCTAATGAGGAAAGTGATGATGGTGATGGTAGTGATTTAGATTAGTTTTACAAACATAATTTGTCTATTAATTTTTAAGATTTCATTATAAAAAAATTAAATCAGTAAATTCTTCTTTTGATTTTTAATTATATAGTGCGTGAAATATAGAGGCAGCACTACTGCCGAAGTTAGCCCTCTCTAGTGTTCAATTTTAGAATTAAATGGGGTAAACATTGCAAGTAAAAAATAAAAGATATTTTTTAAAATATTAAATATAGTTAAATATAGATACCTTCCCGTAACAAACAATCGTTTACATGGTCAAAATGATATAAAATGTGAAAAATTATTAAAATCTGGACATGTATGTACATTTTAAGCAAAAAAGATTTAAATGGTTAAGTGACAATAAATTGTAAAGTTGTACCTCAAGCAAGTGTATCCAATGTCAAAATATCGGTATTTAGTAACACTGAATTTAAAAGTATTACAATAACATTTTAAAAATGTAAATTAATAAAAAAGATTGAGAATAATAATAATAATAATTCTTTGTTAGTAGAAATGTCATTCATCCACCTTAGACACATACTTTGATTTTCTTTTACTTAGGCGTCTATGAGACACCCAATGCTATACATAATTATACAGATTGCTCACCCATCTATAAAAAAGATTACGAAAAGCGGGTTGCAATGTGCACTGCTATATTGCCTTTCCAAGTGCCCACGAAATATGGCGTTCTAGCCCAAATGTGTTTTAAAATTAAATTTCAGTGTTTTATTCTTTAGAAAAAGAAAATAATTACTTAATTCAAGAC